GACGATCCTGAATCGTGCCAGAACGCCAATACTAGGATTTCAACATAGAGAATCAACGTAACTGTTGCGCCAACATAATCCTGAATCTTTCCAAAACACCATAAAAATTGAGTGAACGAATGTGCGCAGCGCTAGAGCGAGAGGCACCTCAATCCGCGAAGCTCTTGCAAATTTTCAAAACGAATGTGCGCCGAGACAAAGCGAGAGCCACATTTTGAAAACCACCCGCCCTCAATCCGTGAAACTCTTGCAAATTTCGCAAACGATTGCGCGCGGCGCTAAGGCGAGAACCACTTCTTGAAAACGACACGCCCGCAATCCTTGAAACTCCTCGTAACGTTTTAAAACAAATGTGCGCCGCGCTAAAGCGAGAGCCACAGTTTGAAAAACACTCGCCATCATTTCAGTCCGTGAAATTCTCGCACATTTTGAAAACGAATGTGCGCGGCGCTAATGCGAGAGCCACATTTTGAAACCGACACGCCTTCCATCTATGAAGCTGTTGCCAATTTCTCCTAGTCAGAGTCATAGATGGTGAGTGAGGAAGTCTCAGGCGAAACGCCCGGCCCGCCCTGAAAACTGGCCTCGGGGTGCGACAGGGAGACGCTGTTCATAAGGAAAAGGAATGCAGGAGGATGAGGAGGAGGCGGAGGAGGATGAGGAGGAGGAGGCGGAGGAGGAGGAGGAGGAGGAGGAGGAGGAAGGGAGGAGGAGGAGGAAGAGGAGGAGGAGGAGGAGGAGGAAGAGGAGGAAGGGAGGAGGAGGAAGGGAGGGGGTGGGGAGGACTGCTGGGCTCGAGGGCGGAAGGGGCGGAGGGGTCGGTCTTGTGCACCGCGCTGCGGGGGGGCGGCGGAGAGCGAGGCGCTCGCACGGCCGGCGCCCGCTGCCGCGGCGAGCCCGGCAGGCGTTCGGGCTCGCCTCGCCGGCGCGCCGTGTTCTTGGCATCGCGCGGACTCCAGCAGTGGCGAAGCGTCCTGGCTTCAGCAGTTCTGCACGAACGAGTGGGCACGGAAAGAAGGGGTACAATGCTCAACAGCAGGTCCTGTTCATTTTGAGCAGGACTCGCTGTCGGTGTCGCCGCGGCCTGTGTCCGTTCGAGACAGAAGGCCGCCTGCCCAACAGCGGCCGCTGATCGTTTGGGACAAGATGTGTTATTGGGCATTGGACCCGTTTGTTCCCTACCCATTTCGGGCGTCCAAATCCAGCAGTGGCGAAGCGTCTTGGCTTCCTCATAAGCAAAGAATGTTCGAAGAACTTTATGCGGTCTGCGCGAAAGGTTCTTGGAACATTCCTGGCCGCGACTGGCTTGTGTCAACACACTGGGGACATGTTCTGAGAAGGTTGTTCTTGTTCTCAGAACATGTTTGGGCTCTAGGAACATCTCGTGGTAGGCCTATAGGAATGCCAGGACGCTCGGTCCCTGCTCAACGGACGCGTGGCTTTTTTTCTCGGCGAGGGCCATCGAGGAGGATCTTCGATCACCGCGCGAAAAACACACACACATACACACGCACGACACCGAAACATGCACGGCGAGTGGGCGGTCGAGCGACGGCAAGAGCTGCGACGCCTCTTTGTTCACCGAGCGCGTTCCACTGCTCGCAGAGTGCCTGCTCGCAAACGTCTGGAGCACAGTGGTCTGCCCTGGCGCAGTGGGCTGTGGAGCCCCCGCGGCAGCTCCAGGGGCCGTTCGCGAGCAGTCGCCCCGCGAGTCGTGGAGCGCGCTCGTCTATTTTTTTTTTGTGGTCGGCGAGGGATCGTCGGGGAGGATGCCGAAGAAAAAAAAACGCGCACGAGCTCGAACCGTGCACGGGGGAGGGGCGTCCGAGGGACGGCCAGAGTTGCGACGCTCCTCCTCCTCCTCCTCCTCCTCCTCCTCCTCCTCCTCCTCCTTTCGCCACGGCTGGATTCGCCTCGAGACTTGAGTCGGGCATGTGTCCCTCAACAGGAGGGACATGCAAACCTAGTCGAACAATCGTCAGGGGACGCTTCTTTGAATGTGTTTGACCCTTTTGGGGCATTTTTTTGATTCTGTCGTACTTTCCGTCGAACCTCCCCCTGTAGGACGACAGGCCCGACCGAACTCAAGACCCTGGTCAGAACGAGCCCCGGGAGAGGTCGGGAGCATAGCGGCATCAGCACCTCTGGCTTCCCCAGGTGTAGCAGCCCAGGTGCAGCAGGTTCGCGCCGGTTTGGCGCGGCGGCGCTCCCAGCGCGGGCGCGGAACGTCGGACGTCGCCGGTGGCCAAGGATCAGCCGGTGTGGAACGATCCGCGCTGTCGGAAAGCCCCTTCTTTCAAGGTCGGTAGAGCCACGTGGTCTCAGAGGCCAGTGCTGAAGTCGTCGCGAGACAAGGTTGCCGGAGTTGCAGCTGCAGCCCCAGACTTCCAGCGTTTCTTGTTCAACCGAGGTTTGTTCTTGGTTTCTGGCTCGTTGGGGCCAGTTCTGGACCTTGGGGCCATCCAGCATTGATCTGGGATGAGAAATGGCTTCCAGGGAAGGGGTCGAGATTTCTTGGCGCCAGGGACTGAAACCACACACACACAGGTCGGACGTCTTGGGTGATGGTGGCGGTAGCAGCAGTGTTGGTGGCAGTAGTGGTGGCAGCGGTAGTTGTCATGGCGTGGGCGACGAGAATTAGGAGGAAAAGAAACACACAGACACAGTTAATCTTCGATTTCCCAGAAAATATGGGAAAATATGGGAAGTGGGCGGGAAGACAGAAACCCAGAAAATATGTGAAAACATGGGGGATTCTTGTATTTGTGTGTATTTATTTGTGTATCCTTGGGCCCCTTCAGAGTACCTGGAGTGAGGACGCAACGCCCCGGGCAGGAGGGGTGGCGAGCGGCCCAGTGCAGAACGTGCGGCGAACAAGGTCGCGTGGCTGATTTCGGCAGGAAGCAGGCGTTCCTGGCCGAGAGGTCGTTCCGCAAAGGCATACAACACCAGGCCATGCTCCTCAGGCAGCGCTTCCATACTCGGAGGAAGATAGAGAGTCCTCGACGAAGTGAGACTGTTGGTCACAGGGTGCGCCCCTGGGTTGCACAACGAGCTGCGGCCAACGGGCGCGCGTGTCTTCCTAAGGGCGCTTCGTGGCCATTATCAAAGGAGGAACACTTCCCGGACCCGATAATTGGTGCTTACTAAACGACCTTGGGCGTTTATTAAACAGCCCTGCCCTGTTCGATTCCTTCTGTGGGTGCGCGTGCTAAACGACTTCGCGTGTCGGGGTGATTCTTATGGGGGGGGTTCTGCCCTCCGTGATTGCGCCCATGACTTGCGCGTGTCGCGCCGAGGATGTTTCGGGGCCGTAAGGTGCGCCCATGGGTTGCGCCACTGCTTGCGGCCGTGTGTTGCCCCCGTGGGCTGCGCCGCAGCTCGCGCAGAGGGCGTGCGCGTTCGTCACGGGGAATGTTCGTGGCCACAGGATGCGCACATGAGTTGCGGTCGCGCCCATGCCTTGCGCCTGCCTCCCCGACTATGTTTCGTGGCCGTTGCGCCCATACGTTGCGCGCCATCGATTGCGCCAGTGATGCTTCGTGTCCGTAGGTTGCGTCACAGGTTGCACGCATGGGTTGCGCATGACGCCCCGAAGCTGTTCGTTGCAGTAGGCTGCGCCCACGGGTTGCGCATGTCGCCCTTGCGATGCTCCGTGTCCATAGAATGGGCGCGCATGGGTTTTCGTGGCTATAGGCTGCGCCCACGAGGTGCGCCCCAGCATTGCTGTGTATAGCTCTGAGTTGGCCTGACCTCCTTGCATCCTCGTGCACCGCTCCGAGTTCCACTGCATCGGCTGCACCCCTTCGCCGCGCGGGGCCCACGCGGGCATCACAGCTCTCCAGGCCGGGACTCCGCTCGTGGGGCTCTCCCCACCCTGACTCCAGATCCGCCCCACTTTGGGGAAATTCGTAAGCAGGGCCTGGAACTCGGCTTCTTGTAGGTGGATTTCCGACGCAATTTTAAGTTGGGAAAAAAGCCAAGCTGGAGTCAGGCCCCTTGAGCCAGTCCCGCCCCCTGACGTTCCCGTTCCCCTTCAGTCCGGGGGGGGAGGGAGGGCGAGCGCGGAGTGAGGGGGAGGACGAGGAAGAGGTGGAGGAGGATGGGGAGAGAGAGGAAGACGAGGAGGACTAGGATAATGGGGAGGTAGATGAGGAGGAGGAGGAGGAGGAGGAGGAGGAGGAAATTGAGGCGAGGGCAATTTTAAGTTGGGACAGGCGGCTCGACGAGTCTGCCGGGGTTTCGCTCTCTGCCCGCTCGGTGGCCGCCCGCGGGCGCCTCGTGGGCGCCCCCCGCGCGCTGGGCGGGTCTGCGGGAGCCTCGCCCGGTGCCCGCCCGGTGGTCGCTCTCGCCAGCGCCCCGTGGGCGCCCCGCGGGGCGCCGGCGGAGCTCGCACCGCGTGGGCTGCAGCGAGCGGCCTGCACCACGCGCGTCGCATCTCGCAGCGCGGAGCACCTCCTCCTCCGCCTCCTGCTCCTTCCTTACGCTCGTCTCCTCCTCCTCCTCCTCCTCCTCCTCCTCCTCCTCCTCCTCCTCTCCTCCTCCTCCCTCCTCCTCCTCCTCCTCCTCCTCCTCCTCCTCCTCCTCCTCCTCCTCCTCCTCCTCCTCCTCCTCCTCCTCCTCTGCAGTCGCCCTGGAATTGGTAGGTCGACCCTGCCAAATCAAGGGTACCCTGGTGTCCTCTGCCTCGCGACCCATGCCTCCCGCATTCCTAATTTTGGCGCTGTGGCAGCCCTCGGAAGGGGGGTGGGTCCTGTCGCGTGCCCTGTCCAATCAAGTCCGGCTGTACGGTGGGGGCGTTCGCTAAGGAATGTGCCCAGGAGGCTGCAGACCCTGGAGGATCCCTTGTCTGATGAGGGCGGTGGCGATATGCAGTCAGAGTTCCTCTAGGGCCACTGCCTAGGCCACTGCATTAGGTTCGAAAGTGCGCACCGTCAAGCACAGTTCCTTGTGCCATCCTCGATGTTGTAGACATCGCGCGTACCCTGCCAACCCCCGAAAGCATTCACTCCCATGACAGGCAAGGCGTGTGTCCAAAAGAGTATCATGTGTTGCCCATCACTTCACCATTTGCATGCGAACTCTTGTGCTCAAATGTTGTTCGGACCATCGGAGCTAGAGCTGGCATGAGCGAGGGCGACTCCGCGTGTGCGAGGACATGGCGTCGCCCGAGGCTGAATGTCCTAAAACAGTTGTCTGCTTCGGTGACAGCAACACATGGGGAGCCTGGGGGCACGCTGATAAGCAGGGGCAGCGCATTCCCTACTACGCCCGGTGGACAACGATACTGCAGCGCCGCCTAGGCAACGGCGTGTCCGTGGTGCCAGAGGGGCTCAATGGACGCACAACAGTGCTAGATGATCCTGTATCCTTTCTGAACAGTCTCCCTGACACCGGGACCGTCAACGGTTCGAGGTATCTGCCGGCGTGCCTACACAGCCACAAGCCCATCGATCTCGTGGTGCTCGGCCTGGGAGCCAATGACGTCAAGACGCGCTTCAGCCTGAGCCCCGCGGAGATCGCAAAGGGCTGCCTCATGCTCATCAGGATGATCAAGATCGGCGGCACGCGCAGGAAGCAAGTCAGAGGGTGACACGCCTTCCCCTTCTCCTCCTCCTCCTCCTCCTCCTCCTCCTCCTCCTCCTCCTCCTCCTCTTCCTCCTCTCCTCCTCCTCCTCCTCATCCTCCTCCTCCTCCTCCTCCTCCTGCTCCTCTCCTCCTCCTCCTCCTCTCCTCCGTCCTCCTCCTCCACCTCCTCCTCCCTCCTCCTTCTCCTCCTCATCCACCTCCTCTCTCCTCCTCCTCCTCCTCCTCCTCCTCCTCCTCCTCCTCCTCCTCCTCCTCCCTCCTCCTCTTCCTCTCCTCCTCCTTCCCTCCTCCTCCTCCCTCCTCCTTCTCCTCCTCCTCCTCCTCCTCCTCCTCCTCCTCCTCCTCCTCCTTTCTCGAAGGCGGCGTGGCTTCTCAGACGCCTTCGGGCAACGCTCAGAAACGAGGGAGGAGGAGAGGAGGAGGAGGAGGAGGAGAGGAGGAGAGGAGGAGAGAGGAGAGGATGGAGGGGGGGAGGGGAGGGGGAGGGAGAGGAGGGGGAGGGGGAGAGGAGAGGAGGAGGAGGAGGAGGAGGAGGAGGAGGAGGAGGAGGAGGAGGAGGAGGAGGAGGAGGAGGAGGGGGAGGGGGAGGGGAGGGGAGGGGAGAGGAGGAAGAGGGGAGGGGGAGGGGAGGAGGTGGAGGAGGAGGAGGAGGAGGAGGAGGAGGAGAGGAGGAGAGGAGGACGAGGAGAACCGACGAAAACGCCCGAGAACCTCGAGCCCGAGAGCCTCGAGCCTCGAACCTGGGCGCGCCGCCGGCAAGACCTCGGGCTGCGGCCCCGGCGGCGCGCCGCCGGCCCTGGTGCTGCTCTCGCCCCCCGCCATGCGCCTGGTGGAGATGCACGACGACTTCGGCCCGCACCGTGCAGCGAGGAGCCTCGCCGTGATCGAGGCGTACAGGCGGCTGGCGGAGGAGGAGGGCGCGGAGTTCGTCAGCCTTGGTGGGGCTTCGGGCTGCGCGCAGACGGCCCCCCCCCCGGCAGCCCCAGCTGGCCTCGGCAGGCCCCCCGGAGCAGCCCGGGGGGGCGGCCTCGGCACCCCCGCCGGGGGGCGCGGAGCGCCCCAGGGGGCGCAGCCGGAGGCGGCGCTGGAGTGCCGAGACCGCCTCGGACCCCCTGGGGGGGCCTGCTGAGGCCGGCTGGGACCACAGGGGGGGGGGGGCCTGTTGAGGCCAGCCGGGGCTGCCAGGGGGGGGACACAGGGGGGGGGGCCTGTTGAGGCCAGCCGGGGCTGCCAGGGGGGGCCCTGACTCCAGATCCGCCCTACTTTGGTTTTTTTTTTCAACTTAAAATTGCATCGGAAATCCACCGATAAGAAACCGAAGAAATAGGATGGAGATTTCTGCACCCAACATAAACTAGGCGGAAATCCACGGAAGTAGGGCGGAAACAGCCACAGAATAGTAGGGCGGAAATTGGCATCAGCGAGGCTTGAAAAGTAAGGCGGAAATTCCAAGCCCCACTTACGAATTTCCCCAAAGTAGGGCGGATCCGGAGTCATGGGGGGGGGGCTGTCGAGGCCAGCCAGGGCTACTTTGGGGAGCTGTCCCTGAGATCCGACGACGAGGAAAAAGTCTGACATCTTAAAACGTCACGACTGGAGCCCCCGACCCTCTCTGCGCCTTTTTCTCGAGCCGGATCTATCTGTGAGGGTCCTGGGGGCCCGAAACCGGGCGAAAACGACCGTCCCGGAAAAATGCAACACCCGGATCTCAGGGGTCTGCGCGCAACCGCGAAGCCTTACCAGTCAGCCTCGCGGACGTCCCCACCTCGGAGGACGGCCTTCATTCCTCCTCCTCCTCCTCCTCCTCCTCCTCCTCCTCCTCCTCTTCCTCCTCCTCCTCCTCTCCCCTCCCCTCCTCTCCTCTCCTCTCCTCTCCTCTCCTCCCCTCTCCTCTCCTCTCCTCCTCCGCGCTCTTCCATTCCCGCCTCCTCCTCCTCCTCCTCCTCCTCCTCCTCCTCCTCCTCCTCCCCCTCCTACTACTTTATTTCCCAGGTTCCCAGAGGGGTCTCAAATCAAACTATACACAACATCCTCATCCCATCACTCTGATGCCTGCCTCTTCGCTGGTCTCATCGTGAGCGGCTGGGAATGCCCATCATTATAGGCAATTTCCCATTCGGCACGCATCAAGGAGTCCAAACACACTCCACTTCTTCTTGTGAGAGGGGGTGCACTCCTCGACTTTACTGCTATACCGCATCTTTCGCGGTGGCGGGCAATAGTTCCCCCCCCTCCTTCTCCTCCTCCTCCTCCTCCTCCTCCTCCTCCTCCTCCTCCTCCTCATCATCATCATCATCAGCATCATCATCTTCCCTTCTCCTCCTCCTTTTTGTGTAGCGCGAACTTAAGGCGATCCTCCTCCTCCCTCATCCTCTCCTCCTCCTCCTCCTCCTCCCTCCTCATCCTCATCCTCCTTCTCCTCCTCCTCCTCCTCCTCTCCTCCTGCTCCTCCTGCTCCTCTGCGCTGCCTCACTGCTCCTCCTCCTCCTCCTCCTCCTCCACCCCTCCTCCTTCTCCTCCTCCTCCTCCTCCTCCTCCTCCTCCTCCACCCTCCTCCTCCTCCTCCTCCTCCTCCTCCTCCTCCTCCTCCTCCTCCCCCTCCTCCTGCTCCTCCCTCCTCCTCCTCCTCCTCCCCTCCTCAATCCTCCTCCTCCTCCTCCCCCTCCTCCACCCCTTCCTCTCTCTTCCCCTCCTCCTCCGCCTCATCAATCCGCCTCCTCCCTTTCCCCCCCCCTCCCTTCTCCTCCTCCTCCTCCTCCTCCTCCTACTCGCGTGCGTCCGACCTCTCGACCATTTCCTCGGGACCGGTGGTTTTTCATCCCGATCCGATGTTTTGACGGCCCCGAGACCCAGTCAGACCCAGTCAGGGCCCCGAGTGGCCGAAAAGGATGAGCACCAACAACAAGCAAACGGCAAGCGGTGTTCTTGCTCGAGGCGTCAGACGTCGGGGGACGTCCCCACCTCGGAGGATGGCCTCCACTTCGACGTCGAGGCCTCCGCCGCGATCGGGGGCCTCGTGGCCCGCGCGGCGGCCAGGGCGCTGGGCACTGGGCCCCTGCAGGAGCCGGGCGCGGAGCCCGGGCCCGGGGCGCCCAAGCGGCCTAGGAGAGAGGCAGACAGGGTCGCGTCGTGAAGAAGTCGAGGCCTCCCAGATGGGGTCGGTCGAGGCCCTCTTCTATTCGCCCTCCCCTCGTGCCCTCTCTTCGGGGGCCCACGCCTGCTGCACGCCTGCGGCAGTGTAGCCCTCGGAAGGGTCTGGTGTCCTCTCGCGTGCCCCCTCCAGTCAAGCCCGACTGTAGATGGGCTCGGGGGACGACGACGACGACGACGACGACGACGACGACGACGACGACGACGACGCTCGACAGCGAAAGAGCCGAAAGAAGCGAACGAGGCGAAGGGGACGAGCAGGGGAATGCGGAGAGGGGTCAGCAGCGGCAGCGGCGGGCGCGCAGGCGAAGCGGGCGAAAACCGCGAGGCTGGCCGGTCCTCGAGGTAGCGGCGCGCAGCGCCCCGCGTTGCGCCTGCCGCGAAGTTTGGCGCAAGTTTTTCCCGCGCCGCGTCTCACTGCGTTCGGTGGCAGCTGCTGGGCAAGGGCGTGGACGCTGGGCTCGGGGAGCGACACGTCAGCGACGCAGAAAAAGAAGGCATAAGCTCCTCCTCCTCCTCCTCCTCCTCCTCCTCCTCCTCCTCCTCCTCCTCCTCCACCCCGCCAAACCACCCCGACCTGACCCGAAGACCTCAGGTTGCCCTCTATTCCCAGTGGGGGGGGGGGGGGCGGCGTCGGGGAGCATTGAGCAGACACAGACGGAACCCGTACCCCCCCCCCCAGCCCGAAATTTGGGTCTTCGGGCTGGGTGGGGGGGTAGTCTGGTAGGTGGTCAGCGTCGGCACCCCCAGGCCCCAAAAATTCAATGCTGATGCCGAGGCACATGACCTCACCACCGCTACCATAGGTAGGAGAGGGAGGAGGAGGAGGAGGAGGAGGAGGAGGAGGAGGAGGAGGAGGAGGAGGAGGAGGAGGGGCACGAGGAGGTGAAGGAGGAGGAGGAGGAGGAGGAGGAGGAGGAGGAGATCGGTCCGTGCCGCTGGCCGTGCGCAGCTGAGCTCGGCGGCGGGCCCCGCTGTGCGAGTGGCACTGCCTGACTCCGGATCCGCCCTACTGTGGGGAAATTCGTAAGTGGGGCTTGGACTTTCCGCCTTGCTTTTCCAGCCCCGCGGATGCCAATTTCCGCCTTGCTTTTCTGTTGCTGTTTCCGCCCTGCTGCTGCGGATGTCCGCCCTATTTTATGTTGGGTGCCGAAATTTCCGCCCTACTTGTTCGGCTTCTTCTAGGTGGATTGCCGACGCAATTTTGAGTTGGAAAAAAGCCAAAGTAGGGCGGATCTGGAGTCAGGGCAAGATTCTCGCCGGCATCCGCGGACCGTGCCGCGCGCGCAGGTGAGCACTGGAAGTGGGGCCGAGGGGGGGCTGGCAAGCTTCGCAGGGTGCTGGCGGCCTCCCGGGCGGGGCCGGAGTGGGCTCGGAGGAGCGCGCCGCCTTGCCGATGCATCGGCGATGCGGCTCGATGTGGAGCCCGACTTTCTCCACGTCGACGGCGCCGATGCATCGCCGACGTCGCTGGTGCAACGCCGATGCATCGGCGATGCGGTGCAACCCTTCCGACCCGAGGCCTCTAAACAATCGCTCAGGAGGGGAACAAAAACACACAGACACAATGAATCGTCAATTCCCAAGAACATATGGGGAGATATGGGAAGCGGGGGGCTGACAAAAGCCCAGAAACTATAGGGAAAATATGGGGAATCCTGCAATTTGTGTGTATTGATGTGTGTGCAGCCCTCCGACCCGAGGCCTCTGCAAGATCACGACGGGAAGGCCTTCGGACGCTGCAGGTTTTCCAGCCTCGGGATGCGCTCCAGGAGCTGCCCCTCGCCGAGGGCGTGCCCGGGGTGCCCGCGTCACGCCGAACGGCCGCCGGCCGCCCGAGGTGTGGCCCGAAGAAGACCAGACTGCCTCGCCCCCTCCCTCTCAGGCGCGAACTTCAGGCGATCCTCCTCCTCCTCCTCCTCCTCCTCCTCCTCCTCCTCCTCCTCCACCTCCTCCACCTCCCTCCTCCTCCTCTCCTCCTCCCTCTCCTCCTCCTCCCTCTCCTTCCTCCTCCCTCTCCTCCTCCCTCTCCTCCGTCCTCCTCCTCCTCTCCCCTCCACTCCCTCCTCCTCCTCCTCCTCCTCCTCCTCCTCCTCCTCGTCCTCCTCCTCCTCCTCCTCCTCCTCCTCCTCCTCCTCCTCGGAAGGGGGGTCGCAGAGGACACGGAGGCGATGCTCGCGCCGTGGAAAACGCACGGCGTCAGATCTGTTACAGCTCTCGGATTTCGGGAGCCCTTGCCAGGCCCCAAAGGGGGTCCAAGAACGGCCCGGGGCGAAACACCGGCCACAGGGAGAGGGCCCGGAGTCCGTCGGGGGCGGCCAAGAAGGGGGTGATGGCTAGCAGGAGGGGGTGAATACCATGGCGGGGGCAATGATGTCTCCCCAGGTCTCATGGTGCCTCTTCTTCTTTGGGTGAGTCGGAGGGGGAGGAGGAGGAGGAGGAGGAGGAGGAGGAGGAGGAAGGAGGAGGCAGAGGAGGAGGAGGGCGGAGGAGGAGGAGGAGGAGGAGAGGAGGAAGGAGACGAGGAGGAGAGAGGAGGAGAGGAGGAGAGGAGGAGAGGAGGAGAGGAGAGGGAGGAGGAGGAGGAGGGGGAGGATGGGGAGGAGGAAGGAGGAGGACGGGGGAGGGGGAGGAGGAGCGGCCGGTCACGATCTGCGAGCCCCCCCCCCCATTGGACGCCCCCCTCCCCGACGCCCCTGCTGCCGGGGGCCTCGCGCGGCCAGGGCCAGGGCATCGCCTCTCGGGGGGGGGAGGCGCCGGCGCGCGCCGCCGTACGGCGGGGCGCGCCTACGTCCTCGGCGCCGGCGCGCGCCTGCGTCCTCGGGCCAACCATCAGGTCGGGCCTGTCCCTCTGCAGGAGGCATACAGCCAAGTCGCTGAAATAAGGAACAGCTTGGGTAAGAAAGGGGCTCGATATGCCTTGGGTCCTTCCGTGGCTTTTCCCCTCTAGCCTTCCTCGTGCACGCAGGCGCTTGTGGGGCCAAAAAGGGGCTTCGTTCCTTGTTTATCGTTCCTTCTTTATAGTATTCAAAAATAGTATAACAAAACGAGTCTTGGGACGACTTCTGATCATTTTCGGACCATGTTGGCGCACTGTTTTGACTTGGTTCCATTCTTCGCCCGAGATCCCCCTGCAGGAGGACATGCCCGACCTGAGGCCAGAACAAAGTAGCAGAGTCTGGGGGGGGGGCGTGGCGGCGAGAGCCCCCCGCGCGCGCACGGCAGCCTCTCGGTGCAGTCACGGGGGCTCGCCCAGGCGCAGAGCTCCGAGCGCCCAGGCAGCGCACGGGGCGCCCGGGGGGGAACACTCTGGGGACCCACCGAGTGAGAACCGCCCAGCGCCGGCACAGCCCAGGGAAGGACGAAGGGCGCAGCCTTCTCGGATGTGGCTCTCGCCTTCTCGCGCCGCGCACATCTTTGTTCAAGGCTTCAAGTGTTTTAAGTAATAAACGATGGGTAGTGTACAGTGTGTGTGTGTGTGTGTGTGTGTGTGTGTGTGTGTGTGTGTGTGTGTGTGTGTGTGTGTGTGTGTGTGTGTGTGTGTGTGTGTGTGTGTGGTGAGTGTGTGTTGTGTGTGGTGTGTGTGTGTGTGTGTGTGTGTGTGTGTGTGTGTGTGTGTGTGTGTGTGTGTGTGTGTGTGTGTGTGTGTGTGTGTGTGTGTGTGTGTGTGTGTGTGTGTGTGTGTGTGTGTGTGTGTGTGTGTGTGTGTGTGTGTGGATCTCGCCTGAGCTCCGCGTGTATTCTTCTTAAGAGTCCCAAGCAACTGCAGTGTGCCGCTCGCCGGAGCGCCCCGCACACTCGCCCCAGCAGCAGCCGCACGGTTGGAGGGCGGCTCCTTTTCCAAGCGGGGTTCCTCTTTTGGACACTTCTCTGGACTTTTTTATGGCTGGAGGAAGAGGAGGAGGAGGAGGAGGAGGAGGAGGAGGAGGAGGGATGGAGGAAGAAAGAAGAAGTAATCGGAGAGGAGTAGGAGGAGGGAGGAGGGAAGGAGGAGGAGGAGGAGAGGAGGAGGAGGAAGAGGAGGTAGAGAGGAGGAGGAGGAGGAGGAGAGAGGAGGAGGAGGAGGAGAGGAGGAGGAGGAGGAGCCTTGTCGAGGGGGAAGAGGAGGAGGACTCTCGCCTGAATGGCAGGCCCGTGCGGCGTTCGTTGCGCTCGTCCTCCGAGGGTGTGCCTCCCGCAGTGAGCGGGAGTGCTCGTGGGGACTCGTGAGGAGGGGACTTCGGATGGGCGGGCGCGTGGCAGCCCCGTCGATGCTTCCTGGGCCGAGGAGGAGGAGGAGGAGG